TTAAATTAGCTATGAAACCAAGGATGACCATGAATTCTGATCCTCCTGCCTCTACCTCCAGGGTGCTTGCTAGCAGTACATGCATGTGCTACTATGCCTGCTTTGTACACAGTGCTGAGAATCAAACCCAGAGCCTCTTGAATGCTAGGCAATTACTCTACCAACCAAACAACATGTTTAGTTCTAGAAATTTTTAAAAAGATTTTATATGTATGTATTGCCTGCATGTAGGTAAGTGCACCCATGTTGTGCAATGCCGGAGGAGGACAGAAGAGGCTGTCAGATCCCCTGGAACTGGAGTAATGGGGCAGTCGTTAGCTGCCATGTGGGTGCTGGGATTCAAACCCAGGCCTTCTGCAAAAACAACCAGTGTTCTTAACCACTGAACCATCTCTCCAGCCCAGTTCTAGAAATTTTAAAAACTTAATCATGAAGAGAAATTTGAACCCTTATGTTAAGAAGACTGAATTTTCTTTCTAGTCTCTTTTTACTTCTCAAATATTATCAGGGACTGGAAAGATGGTTCAGTGTGTAAAGTGCCTGATGTGTAAGCATGAAGACATGAGTTCAGATCCCAGCACCCTCATTAAAAACTCAAGTGTGGTGGCTCACACTTGTAATGAACTGAAAGGTGGGAACAGGAGGATCCTGCATGTCTCACTGACACAATAGTCCAGCCAATCGGTGAGCTTCAGGTTTAATGACAGATCCTGGGGGTGGAGGGGGAGGGGGCTGTCCTCTGGAGAAATGGCTCAGCAGTTAAGAGCGCTGGTTGCTCTTCCAGGGGACCCAAGTTTGGTTCCCAGCACCCACATGGCAGCTAACAACTGTGTAACTCCAGTTCCAGGGGATTCAGCACCTTCTTCTGACCTCGGGCATTGCATGACACGGGTGCACTTGCATTCAGGTAATGCACTCATACACATTTTTTAAAAATTAAGATAGACGGGCTGAAGAGATGGCTCAGGGATTAACAGTACTTGCTGCTCTTGCAGAGGACCTGGGCTTAGTTCCCAGCACCCACACGGCAGCTAACAATCATTGGAAACTCCACTTCCAGGGGGTTATGATGCCCTCTTCTGGCCTATGTGGGCACTGCATGCACACAGATATGCAGGCAAAACACTCATACACATAAAATAAAAATAAATAATAAAATTAATTTAAAAATTGGAGGAAAAGTAGTATTCAAGTGTGACCACATGTAATTAATCCAACTGTTATGGAAATCTTCTGTGATGTTTATAGTACATGCTAATTTTTAAACTCTATTTCTTTTATTTATTTTTTAAAATATTTTATTATTTTTATTTTATGTATATGTGTATATTGCCTCCATGTAGGTAAGTGCACCCATGTAGTTCAGTGCCCGAAGAGGAGAGAAGAGGTTATCGGATGCCCTGGAACTGGAGTCCATGTGGGTGCTGGGATTTGAACCCGGGTCTTCTGCAAGAACCACCAGTGTTCTTAACTGCTGAGCCATCTCTCCAGCCCCTTATTTATTATTTTTATTTTATGTGTATGAGTGATCGCCTGCATGTATGTGAGTGCACCCACATCGTGCAATGCCACGGAGGTCAGAAGAGGTCTTCGGATTCCCCTGGAACTGGAGTTAAGGACGGTTCTTAGCTGCCATGTGGGTGCTGGGAATCAAACCTGGGTCCTCTGCAAGAGCAGTCAGTGCTCTTAACCGCTGAGCCATCTCTCCAGCCCCAACTCTGTATTTCTTAATATAAATATTCTCTTGCATAGTTTGATATTTATAATTTGGTGACTTTTTTTTTCAGTGAACACACCCTCATCATCTGTCTCCACCTCTGCCCCAGAGAATTGTCTAAGGCATAAGATTCTAAAAAATCTAGCTGACCACAGTACAGAACAAGTTCTCAGGAGCTTCTACAAATATCAGAAGTATGAGGCTGGTTATTCACCCAACAGGACTGGAAGCCTGGACCCATCGGGCTCTACACAGTGTCAAGTGAGAAAGTCATGAGTGGGTCAAATTCAAATGTTCTATTAGGGGTCACCTCTGAATCATTTTAGGTCACCAATAGCATCATCAGACCAACACCTATCTTTGCTTGTGAAGGACCCCCATGATCAAGAAGAACCTGCCCTTTACCCTCTGGCCTGTTGCCTATTTTTCTTTTGTTGAACAGTGTTTTGAGAACTCAAAAATGTGCCCATGTTCTTAATGAAACTGAATTCCTTATTGGCAAAAACAAAATAAATAATAACAAAGCAAATACAAAGCACTTAAACACACAAACAACAACAAAAAAACTATTTAGAAAAGCAAAGGTGAGTTCAGCTGCTTGAAAACTAAGGTTTGTCAAGTGTTTGTGCTAGTGTCATCTAGTGACCAAAGGGGTTAGCTCAGCTCATCAGAACGTGCGCAGTGAGGGACGTCACACCTGTAATCTCATCACTCAGGAGGCTGAGGTAGGATTGCTCAAAGTTAGCATGGGCTACAGAGTGAACTCCAGGCCAACCCGGGCTACAGAGTAAGATTTTGCCTGAAGCAAACACACAAAACAACATCTAGGAGAGAAATGTTTTTTCTACCCCGATTTTCTGGAAGTTGTACAAGATACTGTGGTTTATTCAGCTCCACTGTGTGGTCATTAATTTACATCATTGAATCTTATAAAAGTAAAATATGAAATCAGACAGGTGAAAATACAAAGTAAACACTGGAACGAAGAGAAACAGGGCCTCAGCTGGACATGATGGTGTAAGCCTATTATAATCCTAGCATGTGGGAGGTAGGAGCAGGAGGATCAGGAAGGAGTTCAAGGTCATTCTTTGCTACACAGCAAGTTCAAGACCCATCTCCCCTATATGAGATCCTGTTAAAAAAAAAAAAGAAAGTGAGAGACACAGACCTATTTGAGACCTGTTGGCACTTGTACAGGATTCATGGTTCAACATCTTATAAGGAGTTTAGCAAATTACTGGCCTTATACAGTGGAAGGTCCCTCCCTATAAGAGGATTGGGTCAAGCCAGACATGGTAGCACAGGCCTTTAGTCCCAGCATTTGGGAAGCAGAGGCAGACGGATCTCTGTGAGTTCAAGGCCAGCCTGGTCTACATAGTGAGTTCTAGGACAGCTGGGGCTACAGGGAGACCCTGTCTCAAAAAGGCCGAAAAAAAAAAAAAAAAGAGGATTGGGTCAGTACACAACTGTACTGGTTGACTGTTGGATATGCTAGGCCATTCTAACTCCTAACTTGAACTCGCTGCTTAGGCTGACTCCTCACTTTCTCTCCTCACCAGTGTCCTCCACCCTAATCTCTGGTTTAGTCTACATTTGTAAAACTGTAGTTATTGTTCTTTCTTGTGTGTGTGTGTGTGTGTGTGTGTGTGTGTGTGTGCACGCACCAGGAAAGGCTCATGCGAGGAGATGCATGTGAATGTGTGTGGTGGCCAGAGGTTGCTGTCAGGCGTCTTCTTCAACCATTCTTCACTTTTTCCTTTTTTTAAAAAAAATTGTATTTATTATTTTTTATTTTATGTGTATGAGTGTATTGCCTGCATGTGAAATGCACCTATGTCATGAAATGCCTGCAGGGGTCAGAAGAGGGTGTCGAATTCCCCTGAGACTGAAGCTATAGGCAGTTGTTATCTGCCGCCTGGGTGCTGGGATTTGAACCTAGGTCCTTTGCAAGAGCAGCCAGTGCTCTTAACTGCTGAGCCATCTCTCTAGCCCTTCCACTTTTTCTTTTGAGACAGGATCTCTCACTGAACCTGGACCTCACCAATTCAGCTAGGTTGACTGGCCAGCAAGCCCTAGGGATCCTCCAGGCTCTGCCTCCCCAGAACTTGCATTATAGGCATGTATTGCCATACCCATCTTTGTATGTGGATGCTGGGGACCAAACTTAGATCCTCATGTTTGCTCAGGAAGTGCTTTATTAACTGAACCACATCTCCAGCCCTCAGCCCACATTTCATCTAGCTTATCCCACCCTGTTTTAGTTTGCCTCTTTTCTCCCTTCCATTTTATTTTTCCCCAAACAGACCTGTCTTAGTCACTTGGTTGCAACTTGTATAGACTTCATTCAACAAATATTTGCTGAGCAACTCCATACCACTCATTACAGTAAGTATATGAAATCTCAGGGCTGAAAATGACATCATGTTGCAAGCCCCTCTTCTAAAACTAAACTGCTTGGGTTCAGATCCCCCAGCACTATCATTTCTAACCATGTGACCATGAGCATGCTACTTTTATTGGGTCCCAAGGAACTTATCTGTATAAAAGGGGTCATATGGGGCTGGAGATATGGCTCAGAGGTTAAGAGCACTGACTGCTCTTGCAGAGGACCAGATTTGATTGCCAGCACCCACATGGTGGCTATAAACCGTCCTTAAGTCCAGTTCCAGGGAAATCTGAAGCCCTCTTCTGACCTCCGCTGGCACTGCACGACACGGGTGCACTCACATGCAAGCAATACACTCATATACATAAAATAAAAATAATAAATAAAATATATATTTTAAAAACAGGGTCATAATTATGGTCCATTTGTTATGGGGTTAGTATGAGGATTAAGTGAGACAATACATATAAGGGGCTTAGAAGTGCATTCAGTGCCTGGTAGAGTCCTGAAATGCAAGCTCTTATTGCCTACCTCTCAAGGAGAGCTGTCCACAGTTACTCTGTCTACCTGTTCCTCCTGGCAGGCAGGACACTTAAGAGAGCTATACCTTCTAGCTAACCATTACTAAACCAGGTTCAAGTTCCTCTCCCCTATTTCCCCCTTCTCCCCTCCTCCTCCCCAACTCTTCCCCCCTCCCCTTCCCCCCGCCCCCTCCCCCTCC